GAACACTGAAAACCATGCTGGTGCCCCTGAGGAACTGATTGGATTTCATTTTAGTTCATTTAAATAGCCACGCATGGCAAGCTGTGCTTCTGTATTGGCCTGGTTCTGGGTCGGCCTCCTGTCTGTCTCCATGCAGAAAATTTAGAATTCTTTAGAAACTAGAATTTCCAGGCAAGAATCATAGCAAATTTATGTCCACGGTTCCCAGGACAGGGTACACAGCAGGAGCTCAATAAATGTGCATCGGCTTCAACTGTGTCAAACCCTGATCCTGCCTCTTGCATCCAGGGCCTGGGTGGGAAGGGAGGCGGCACACACTGCACCTGCCCACTCCTACCAGGAAGTTCCCCAGCCTGGAGGTGGGCAAGAGGGCTGAGCCGGTCAGGATGAATGACAGGGAGGAGAGTTCTGTCAGTGGAGGCTTTGGCATCCCCACCGCCCCCGATCCTGCCTCCAGCCCAGCCCACCCTCTGGGCCCCACCAGTCCTGCTCCAGCTGGACGCCCAGCAGCAGGCCTTGCACATCCTGTCCTCCGTCAGGGCCGCCCTCTCCCATGCCCCCTCCACACCCTGGGTGTCATCTCCTCTGAACGTCTTCCCTGGGGCCCAGCAGCTGGAGCTCTCTCGTCTGCGTGGAGGGAGAACACCCCTTCCCCATCTCCAGCCAACTCTTATCACGGCTCGCAACCTCTGTTTGCAGATCTGTCGCCTCCAAAACCAGCAGGTTTTTAAGGGAGGGGATAGCGTTGTGTTCATCTCTGCTCCTGACACCCAGCTCAAGGCCTGCCCACACAGGTCCCAGGTGAATCTTTATTACCGACTGAACAGATGGGACGATGGGTGGGTGGGGGGAAGGCTTAATAGAAAGATGGGGTGAGGGTGGATGAATGTGTGCGGGTGAGTGGGTGAGCCAGTGTACATCCAGGTGCTGGGTGGCTAAGTGGCCAGGTAGACAAGTGGGCAAATGGACACAGCGGGGAGAGAAAGGGCTGCTGTTTGGGTGGGCGGGGCATTTGGACGGGTCCATTCCAGACGGATGTTTAGGAAGGTGGTTATCTGAGTGGCAGGACATCCTCCAAGGACAGGGGGCAGGGCCCAGACCCTCACCAGGATGTCCAGGCAGGCAGCCTTGAGAAGGGTGATCTGGTCAGCAATGGTGAGCGTGGTGAAGCCAGGCAGTTGCTTGGCGAACTCCACAGTCTTAATGATGCACTTGGTGGAGAGTTCACTGAACTTGTCCCAGAGGTCGATGTCCAGAGAGACACGTTGTTCTGAGCTGTTGTTCTGAGAGGACGGGGGAGAGTGAGGGCCTTCTCCTCAAGGCTCCCCTCCTGGCCTGGCTCCACCAGCCCCCACAGGCCTGCCCCAAACCCGCCTTCGCTTCCCGAGGAGGAAGCAGGAGGAGGGGGCGGAGGGGGAGGGAGGACACGGAGGCCTGGGCAGGGGGAGGGGGAGCCAGCCTGGCAGAAGGGGCACCCCGTGAGGGGCCAGGGGAAGCCGTACCGTAGTGTATTTGCCCAGCTGGCAGAGGGCAGGGAAGGTCTCCTGGTGCGCTTTGCGCACCTTCTCAATGAGCTCCCCCACCTCTGGCGTCAGCGTGTAGCTCTCGGAGCATTCGGGCTTGGGTGCCTCCTTCTTCTTCTTGTTCCGGTCGTTCCTCACAGCTGTGGAGGGTGAGGCCCGTGGTTAGAGAGCAGGTGCAGGCCCTGGTCCATCCACAGGTCCCGGTCCCTCCCCAGCCCAAGCTCCTCCCACCAGAGGTGCTGGCTGCAGGAGTCATTACCCGGTGGGCGCACACACAGCAGTGCACACAACAATGTGCACACAGACGCACATACAATGTGCACACACAGGAGTGCACACACAGACGCACATACAATGTGCACACAGAGACGCACATACAATGTGCACACACAGACGCACATACAATGCGCACACACAGCAGTGCTCACACAGATGCACATACAGTGTGCACGCAGAGACACACATACAATGTGCACACACACAGACTCACAGACACACGAGTGCACAGGCAGACAAGGTGTCAACTCACGCTCCACCCCTCCATGCCCACCTGACCCACAGCCATGTCTGCCCGAGGGCCCCAGGACCACAGCACAGCCCGCTGTGCCCATACTCCCACGCACTTACTCCAGCCACACTCCTGGAACGCGGGGTCCCAGTCTGAAAGCAAGTGAGCAGTGCCCCACCTTCGCGCTCTGCCTGCCTGTCCCCCACTCCCTCTGCTCCCAAGAACAAGCAGCCTCCACTGGCCCGTCCTCCAGCCAGCAGTCTCCCGGGGTCCCTGGGACTGGCTTGTGGAAGAAGCAGCGCCTCTCCTGGGGCAGGGGCGGTGTAGGGCTCCCCAGCCTGAGAGTGGGGGGCCGGATGGGAGAATCTCTCGGCCCATTAGCTGGGGGAGCTGACAAATCACCGGGGGCGCTGAGCCGCACACACCACTCGGCTTTAAAGAAGCGATGGGGTCGTTACCAGCCGATTATCCCAGACACACAATCACTCACAGGGCCAGTGGTGGCGGCTGCTGACGCTGGAGGAAGAGAGGTGGGGGTGGGGGCCCCAGGAGGGGGCAGTGGGTTGGGGGGGGAGCTGGCATAATTTGGAGATCACTCATGTCGATTCTGCAAATTCAATAAAGTGCAAGGGAAAGAAGGGAGAGGGAGAGTGGGGGGATAATTTGGGAAGAGAAAATTGCAGCTGTGACAAGACGTTTATCATTCGGAAGCTTTAATTCTATTGAAATGGCAGCTGCTCAGCTCCGGGGCACAGAGCAGCCAGAGGGAGGGAGGGAAAGGGGGAGATGCGGTGGGAGGGAGAGGGGTCCCCACCCTGGTCCTTCTGCACCGGAAAGCTCTGGGAGTGGAAGGTGGCAGGAGCAGAGGGAGGAGGCAGTGCTGGGCCCTGAAGGTCCCAAGGTGTCACCCCTTATGCAGCATGGAGCCGTCACTTCCTGGGTTCCTCACGAGGCCGCCCCTGCCTCCTGTGGCGGGAGGTGGCAGTGTGATGCAGGACCCCTCGGTCCCCCCACACCCCTTCCCCACTTTCTTCTTCTACTGCCCAACCTACAAAGGGCTAGGGGGTCCTGCAACCCCCTCCCCCACCCCATCCCCCAAGGCTCAGGCTCCATGGCAACGGCCACGCAGACAAGGAGGCGTCTGTCAGCGTCATTTATCTCTGACATCATCAATCACTGGTCACCACGGCAACACTCATGATTCAACACAAGAGGGTCTCCCTGTCCAGCCCTCCCTCCTCCCTTCATCCTGCCTCAGCTGAGCCCAAACTGGAAACCCCCATCCCTCAGGGATCTGAGACGTTCTGATTCTCTCTTGAAACCCTAGGGCCCAGGCTCTATCACTGGACAATGGCTTTTAGATCCCTGTGCCAGCCGCACGCCCCCCAACACACACACACTCACACACACACACTCACACACTCACACACACCCTCAGTACAGGCCCTTCCCTAAGATGCACAATCCGAAGGGACTTGGGGATGCTTCTGAGCCCTGCACCAAAGCCCAGCAGAGCCTGGAAGCCCACTGGCCTGCAGCAGACACAGGAGCACACACAGCCAGCCGTGTGCAAACAGGAACGGTGTCTGCAATGGACACAGATAGATGTACAGACAGACAGGTCCTTGCAGCTATACACAAACCACCCTTAGCCATGAGCCCACACACCATACCACGGGTGTGCAAGTTCACATCCCTTACACACACACCCACACTCCGCCACCCGCTCCCCTACCTTTAGGAGCACCACAGGCCTGTCTAGCGGGTGGCCTGGTCCCTGGCCCCTGGCCCCTGGCACTCACACTCTTTGGACATGCCCACTTCGAAGCACTTCTGCAGCCGGCAGTACTGGCAGCGGTTGCGGGTCACCTTGTTGATGATGCAGTTCTTGTCCCTGTGACACGTGTACACCATGTTCTTCTGGATGCTGCGGCGGAAGAAGCCCTGAGTATGGAGGGGAGGGAGTCAGATCAGCCACACCCACAGCAGGAGCCATACCAGCCTGGGGCCTTCGCCAGGGGCACAGGAGGCCAGGCCGCTGCTGCCCCCAAGCCTCTGGCCATCGCCTACCTGAGCAGGGCAGATAAGGTGGGAGAAGGGCTCACCTACTAGGATGCTCCCCAAGAACGGCAGGGCCTGCCCCTACACTGCGAGTACACAGAGGTCTTCCCCCAACCCACACCCACAGACCCTGCTCCCTTCCTCCCTGGGAATAGGACCTCAGGGCTGCCAGTGGGTCAGGAAAAGGGGAAGATGGGGCTAGAGAGGAGAGAGGTAGAGCTCTGGAACCCTCAGCCCTGGGCTCAGAGCCCAGGAAGAGAACAAGCAGGAGGAGGCATGCGGGGACACACACGGGCTGGCTGGAGGGATGGAGACGCACACACTCTCCCTTGCCAGCCGGGGAGATGTGTACAGCCTGATCACGGGTGAACCGGGCTGGTCAGGGGCTCCACACACGGGCTAACCAGAGACATGACAGACCAGGGACAGGCGGGACAGGCAGACACACACACCCTGAGGCCTGCTGCTTTGCCCTTGATCTTGGCCCCACACCTGGGGACAGCTACTCCCGGCTGAGAGGCAGTCTGAAGCCCAAGCCCCTAAAACTGTACAGCCTCTGAGCCCCAACCTCTGGGGCAGAAACAGGGACAGAGGCTCAGGCCTGGGAGGCGAGGAGAGGCCATGCCCACAGCCGCTGGGAAGGTGACAACCACATCTGTACCCTGGAGCCTAGCGTGGGCGCAGGGACATGCAGCCAGACACGGGGGAGCCCACAGCCTGAGCATCTGAGGGAGAGGCCAAGGCAAGGCGCCTGCTCCTGGCTGCCTCCTGCCAGGCCGCCATGGGGAGGTTCAGGCAGGGCCACTGGGGGCAGGCCTCCTGGGTCCCCAGCCAAGAGCCAGTCGGCAGCCAGCTCACCATGGCAACCTGGGCAGCGGTGGCAGAGCAGATCTACGCCCTGCCACCTGGAGGATGGAGACAGGGAGAGGAGCTCGGGCAGGAGGGGACCTATTTGGTTTGGGGGAACCCCTGCTCATCCCTGGGGGGGGGTTCTATTGTAGGCTTCCTCCCCTCCTCCAAGGCTGCTGCGACCTGCCACATAGGAACAAGTGCAGAAGCTTCAGGGACACCCCCCTATACCCCCAACAGCATACTCCCGGGACATGGCAGTGGGGACAGTCCATTTATCTCATCAGGATTGCCTTTCCCAATGACTCAACTCACCTTGCAGCCTTCACAGGCGCTGACCCCATAGTGGTAGCCTGAGGATTTGTCTTGGCAGACAAAGCAAGGCTTGTAGATGCGGGGGAGGGGGGGCGGCGAGGGAGGGCTGGGCACTATCTCTTCGGAACTGCTGCTCTGGGTCTCAATGGCTAGAGAGAGAAGAGGGAGGGGCAGTTAGAGACCCAGGTTGCCATCCTTAACACCGTGCCCGCCCACCCGGCCTCCAGACCCCTCCCAGGAGCCCCTCCCAGCCTCACCACAGCTGCCAGAATTCAAACTCAGGGGCAGGAACACCGTCTCAGGAGAGCGGGGACTCCCCAGCCAGACGTGGGGAATGCGGCTGCCAATGAACCCATCAGCACCCCATCACTCCTATCCACTGCCCAGGACCCCACCTTCACACCCAGCAAGGTCAGATGATAACCCATCTGATTTGAATGTGGACATGGCTACACCTGGGCAGCGGGGGTGGGAGGCGGCCTGGTGCTAAAGTCTGGCATCTGGGCGGCCTGGACCCGTCTCCCCAGTTAGGAAGGAGTTAAGGCCCGTGAGGAGGGAGGGAAGAGGACACAAGCTAGGGGCAGAGGAAACTGGGGTCAACAGGATATTCAAAGGCGGCCACTCCCCCACCCCCTCGGCTTCCGCTCCCCCCTCCTCTCTGACAGCAGCCACAGCCCCTCCTCCACCCAAACAATCCCAGGCCAGGGACTCAAGGCGCGGTGAGCAAAGAAAAGTTGCAAATGTCAGGGCGAAGCAGGCGGGGACTCCTGATAAGCAGGGGGGACTCCCTGGAGACAAGGAGAGGAGTCCCTGGGGGCCCCGGAAGCCCCTTGCTCTGGGTGCCCAGTCTCGGGGGAGCAGCATGACAATGGGGGGTCTGTTCCCATCAATGCTCTGTCTGTCTGGCCTCAACACTATGTCCGGGTTACTACCCCCTCCCCTCCTGCTATTCAGCTCCAATAGGGCAGCCAGGAGGGTTGACCCAGCCAGCAGGGCAGCCCTCACTAGCCAAACCCTCCCCGGTGCTTGGCCCCATGCCCACCACCCCAGGCAAGACAGGGTTGGTCTGGGTGGGGGCCGTCTGTGCCTAAAGCCCGGGCAGCCGGGGGTATGCTGTGCTGGATGGAGAACTGTGACCAAAGCAACCCCAGACTCCCAAGGGACCACCCAGCATCCGCCGGAGGCCTTGCCAAGTCCACTTGTCCAAACTCAAGGATGCCTCCCCAAGAGGTAGATCCCTGCCTCCTCCCACACCCCAGAAGCCTACCTCGTCTCACCCCAAACTCCAGCACACAAGGCTCTATAACAAGGCTCTGGCATTCAGAAGGGCCCAGAGCTCCTGGCCCAAGCACTTTATAGCCTGAGTCACCTGGCCCCACAGTCCAGGCACCGAGAAAAGCAGCGCCTGGGCACTGGGGGCTGGCTGCATGCTCCCACCCTCCCCCGTACCTGCAGACACACCACGGATGGCCGGGAGGTTGATGGCAGGGAACCAGGCCAACAACCTTGGCAGGGCTTTCCTGGCTCTTAGCAGGGCCTGGGCACCACTTCCCTGGTCAGCCTGGCTGACCAGCACTGCTGTGGCCCCATGTCCCGTGCCTGCCCAGAGACCAGCCCACAGCAAAGAAACCGTGGACGCCCATACCCCCATCAGCCCACACACTCTGCACTGCCCTCACCTCCCTGCCCTCACCCAACACCAAACTGCCCTCGCCCGGTCTGCCCCACCTCACCCTCCTGGAGGCCAGACAAGCAAATCAGACGGGCAAGAGGCCTGGGAACAGCTGCTGGGGTGGGGGGCAGGGTTGGGGGGCCTGGGTGAGGCCAGGAGGCAGAGGGGTGAGCGACAAAGGAGCCCTTTGTTGTGCTAACTTTTTCCAAGATGTGGGGGGTGTCAAGGACACGGGGTGTGGTGGAGGGGCTGCGGCCTAGAATCCCAGTCCGAGTTCCAAGGAGCAGAGGATGAAGGCACTGACCTGCCTCCCCTCCCCATCAGCCCTTAGCCCCCCTCTGAAATGGACCAGGCTGGAGCCCTTAGCCCCCCTCTGAAATGGACCAGGCTGGAGGGGGGAAAGGACAGGGGAAGCTCTGGAGTCCAGCGTGGATGGAGGATAGGAGGCAGCTCTCAGGTCAGAGTCAAACCAGCGGGGCAAAGGTCTGTAGAAATTCGGAGCTCAGGCAAAGTCCGGAGCGTGTTTGTGGGACTGAAAGAACGTGCTCTTTAACACTGCGCTTTAGGGGAGACGGCCGGCGTGGGGTACAGTTTGGTCTGGGTGAGGCCTCCTCCCCACCCACCCGGCAGCAGGCTGGCTGCCTTTGAGGCTATAACATGGTCTGCACCCCCACCTCCAGCACACCCCACCTGTCACCCAGGTAACAGCTCAGGTTTCCCAGTGTGCCCTTTGCACCCAGAGTCCGGGCCCAGTGCCCACCTGCTCAGGCCTCCAGCCAGCAGCCTGGAAGGCGCGGGGCGCTCTAAGGACACAGCTTTACGTCCGTCCGTCCACACAACCCCTGGGGGAAGGGCGGCCATGCCTGGCCCCTCCCCGCTCACCTCCCTCCCAGAGG